CCACTGAGCTTATATTTATGTTATCACTGTGGCTGATACTGGGTGCTACTGAGGTGATTCCAATTCATACTGACTCCTCATAGAGTAGAACTAACATAAACGATTTTCTCCGTTTTAATCTTTTTTTAAAAAAATTTATTTTATTAATTTTAATGAACATTTACAGAGATTTTGGATTTCCATTCATTCATTGTTGCACTATTTTCTCTACCCCCTCCCTCAGTCCATTCCTCTCTTTATTTTTTCCTTGAAAGTCTGTTTAATTGTTCAGCTTTAATCTTTACACATGCAGATCAACAAGTCTTTCTCCCAACACAGGGACTAGACGAGTTCAAAGCATCGAGTACAGAACCATCCTATCACCACAACTCCTTCATGTCTACCTTCATGATACTTTCTCTTACACATGCTCATACAAACTGGGCCTCATTACAATTAAGTAATGAGATGGACTGACACAGTAACTGTAGCAATGGGCTCAAGTATGTCAGAGATAATGAAGGTCAAGGTTCTCAACTCGATGACACTGAACAACAACACCACGATGAAGCAAACAGTGCAGTATCTACCTGCTCTTCTATGTGACTTGGCTCTAGGCCTTGTCTTGTCTATGAAGTCAATCATGCCTATCTTTATTAACAAAGTGATGTCTGCCTTCACTGTGCTGTATGTTCAACAATCTCACCAACTGAAACACTCTACTATACGTCTTTGCTTACATTTCTAAAATGTGCATTCTTTCCTGCACCTCTGCTTTGAGGGTCAGGAATTTTCCTCTCTACACAAAATTTAGTTAGGCACAGGACCCAGAGCTTAGTAAGAAAAAGCTTACATAGAAATATGGTATATAGTAATAGAATTCCTTTCACAGGCTATCTCTGAAAGGTCCCAGTGAAAACTCTACAGTTACTTTAGAAGCAAAGATATCACCATGACTCAGAATCAACTCAGCCAATAACCAGTGGTAATTAGATTACATAATCTGGAAATACTAAATTTTACAAACAATTGGTGAGTGGTTTTTTTAAAGCTGTTCTTACAATGTAAAGTTTAAACAAGTTTGTGACTCTAGGGTCCATTGGTGGCCTAGTGGCAAGGAAGTGAACTGGTGGCCAGATGCATGTGGTTTGAGTCCACCAGCTGCTCTGAGGGAGAATGATGGGCAATCTCTTCCTGTGTGATTTTACTGCCTCTGAAAACTCACAGAAGGTCAGCTATGAGTAGATCTGATTCCATGGCACATAATAATAAGCTAGTAGGCATTTGGAATACTGTGCTAATGTGTGTACAAGAAACCCTATAAAGATTTTGTTCTAGCTACTGTTTGTTTGTTTTCTTTAAAATTGTGTGTTGAGGACTATTTGGTTCATCTCTGGCCTCACTGATGGGTTGCTCTGCTAGAGAAAGCACTAAAATGATTAGGGTAGAGATGGGGGAAACCAAAGAAGGGTCAAGGAAGAAAGAAGGGCAATATGGAGGAGATTAGCTGGAAGCTGGGAAGTGAGGAGATCAGGGAACAGGGGAAGGGGAAGAGAAGGCAATGTGAGAAGGCAAAATGAGCAGCAGACTGAGAGAGTTGTCTATCAACACAGCAGATCTGGTAAAATCTGTGAAATGCTCTTTCTGTGCACTGGAAGCTTTCCTCAAAGAGTTCTTAACTGGCACTGGACACCTGACCATGGTTTGGGGTCTGGCTTTGCTAACGCCTTGACTGGAGGTGTGTAAGTGATGTTACAGATTCCCATTTTCAAGGTAACTTCAAACAAGGTTAGACACAAACTGCTCAAGCTTTACTGCCTCTCACATATCAGTTAAATATGCACACAAGACAAATCTAAGACCCAAAGTATCCTCCTCCCCAAATTTGGGTTAGAGCAGCATCCATGTACACATTATACCACTGTTTCCTGGAGAAACCCTAAGATCTTCCTTCCTTTAATTAGAGATCAGATGGACATAGAAAATATATTATGTAATTTCCCCAACATCTGTAGTAGAATGTTTTCATACTGGTTGCTTGGTACCATCTTACCCAAACCAGAAGTATTTCATAAACCTATTTTTTTTATAAAGGGAGCCATGGTGGTCTACTGAGTAAAGAGTTGTGTTGCTAACCCAAAAGGTGTCCAGTTCATAGTTGTTTTGATTTGCATCTCTCTTAGAGCTAGGGACTTTGAACATTTCTTCATGTGCTTGAGGTATCATAATTATGAGATATCATAACTATGAGATATCATCTCACCCCAGTAAGAATAGCAAAATAAAACAGAACAGCAAGCAACAAATGCTGGCGAGGATGTGGAGAAACTGGAACTCTTATTCACTGTTGGTGGGAATGTAACCATTGTGGAAGGCGGTGTGGCGCTTTCTCAAAAAACTGCAAATAGAGATACCATTTGACCCAGCAATCCCATTACCGGGAATATACCCCAGAGAGACCATGTCTGCCATCCAAGCA